CTTAGTTTCTTAGTTAATGTTTTATTAAATTCGTGAATTACTTACTCAATGACCAGTTACTTAGGCTATCATACTCAGGCTAACAGGCAGCCAATCAACCATTTTCTTCGTGATGATACTTAGGCAATTAGTGAACCTCTTACTTAACCAGTTACTTCAGAGTTAGTTAAAAACTTGCACAGTAGTTAAGAAATCCGTAAATGAATTTAATAATTTAAAGTAGCTTTAAAGCCTAATCTCTCTCTGCCCTGTAGCATGTGCATTCACGTAGCTTCTGGTTGCCAGCAGCTGGCAGCACATGGTTCTTCTGTCTGTTGTCGAGGTGAGGTAACGGGGATTGCTTCAGATGCCTCTGGACAGCCCAAACTGGCAAGCCATTGACCCAAGCCAGCATCTGTCAACGCATGTATTGTCCGGTCCGGCATCAAGATGCCTTGAACCCGGTTGGTCAGTCGTAGAAACGGGTATTAAAGCACTCACTCGCTCATAATGTTGTATATTTTACGACTGCAAAGAGTTTTTTTTTTAAATACAAGCAGTGGTAATGAAATGTTTAAGAAATTGTGTGCCAAGTTAGAAGAAATTAACAAGGAATTCCGGGTACAACTCGGAATCGTACTTTCCCACTTTCAACAAATGTTGTTTTGCTGATATAATTATTCACCGCTCCATGACGGCACGTGAGTGAGATAAAGTTCTACGCATTGTCGAAATTTGAAAGTTTCTGACATTGGTGCTTTAAATTGCTCTTTTGGACTTAGTTCATCGTCTAAATTACAAAATTACGTTTCAAAGGTTGGCTTTTGCTTCCGTTATCAAGTAAGAAATAGGAAAAGGACAAGACATTATTTGGCCTCCTGGTTGAACTAGTCTCGTACTTGGACCATAACAACACTTAAACGCTCCGCAGAAAACGGAAATCATCCGCGAGAGGAAAGTAATCGATATCTCAACAACGATGTATCGTTGGCCCGATATAACTATTATCTTTGTTATCACCTTTTATCATCTAAGCTGTCTTCTTACCACAAGTCATTATATTCTCAAACAATTAGAGAAAGAACGAGAAAAAATGAATAAATAATGGAAGAATATGTTTGAATACCTTTGGCTTGCACCGATGCAACGTTAGTGTTTAAGAAAGCGGATCGCAGTGAGATTGTCAACACTTTTGCAAATCCTGTAGTTGTGCTAGAGAGCTGACGTGATGATTGATATCTTGCCTTTATGTAACACAGGCTGCAGTAAATCACGGTGAAAGTGTCAAGCGTGCAGTCTTGTAATGCTCAATGGTACCTTGCTGTGGAGGGTCTGTAGATTTGCCGTCGCCTAAGAACCACACTGTGGAATCAAAGTTCCGTACAATCTGTAGACCGAATTCGTTCACGATGTCTATGAAGTGGGTACAAACAGGAACATGGCATCTGTGCTGAAGGTAGGCTGGCTGTAATAAAAATGTGTTCAATTCTGAACGCCGCTGATAACTAATCAACCAAAAATTGTCCTGACATTTCTTTCTACTCTTCTTTTAATGAAGTTGCATATGCAATAATGTGATTTCGTGCCATTAGGAGGAATTTCTAATACGTAGAAGTTAGAACGTGATACAACATACATGAACACATCTTTCAATAGACCTGGAGTCATTCACCTTAAAGCGGTTGCTGTTGCCCACATAGCCATAGCTATCCTTACGCGGAAACACAGAGTAAGATCAAGAAACATGAACCATATTTGCAGAGTGCCTGCAGTTTTGTTGTGGGTAATTCGGGCCTGTAATGTCAACTAACTTCTATTGTTACATGAATGTTAACTGGATGTATGTAATTATTTCCGCGATAAATTAATATGTACCGGTTGTAAAAAGAGCTGATAGCTACTAATTTATTGTATCCGGCATACTCGCCATTTGTACTCATTAAACTTTCATATTCTTAGCTGTGTGTTATCTCAGCTCGACCTCTCGAAAATCTATTTCTGCTTTTCAGGGCATAAGTCTGTTACTATTATCATAGGTCCAAATATTTTCCGTAGTATTTATAAAAGTGTTTCCACAAAAGTATTAAATGAAATAAAGACATTTTAATAAACTAAATCATTACATACGTCGGCACTAGCATTTAGTGAATTAGCGAATCCAGTGTAAGTGTTCAAAATGACCACGTTATGATAAAGCGGCCGGAGCGTGAAGCTTACAACGCCACAATGTACCACCGAGGTTAAGAATGCCCGGAGCTGTACCGCTGTGCCCTCTATACGTCTTCACGGCACGATTCTTTAATTATGCACAGGGAAAATTTTGCTGTTACCTAGCCAGATGTAAACGTTCACAGGAAAACAGATGTCATAACTTCTTTACCGATCTCCCCCTTTTTCTTTGACTATTATGTTACCATTTTTCGTCGGTGAACAAAAAAATTGTGAGCGAGAATAACCTGTTCTGTTTCGCTTTGTATTTATGTGGATCTTATGCTGTTAAACGTAATATAGGGCCTGTAGGTATATGAGGATGCAGGGGGTGTGAAATATATGCACAGGGTCTTGGGAGGTCACTTCTTTGTTCTGTGTCCTTCGTACATCTAAATTACTGGTATTTTCGAGCTCTGATATAAGCTACAGTCATTCCTCACTTTTGTTGGCTTTGAAAACTGAAATAAATGTGTTGACCTCTGCGATATTAAGTTCAAAATAATGATGTGCTAGACCTTGTTCATTCTCGCTATCATTCTGATTCATGTTCCGTTATTGTGCATGAAATTGCACAGAAAAACCTCTGTACTCGTATTTATGCTGTTGTTTATTTCTGTGACTGGTTTCAGTTCCAAATTATATCACGAAATATCGATGTTGGTAGAACTTTCTTGTTGGTTGACTGGCTGAATGAGGGATTGACTCATAAACTGGCTGGTTGTCTGGGTGACTCGTTGACTGATTACGTACGGAACATCATGGTGTAGTGGTTAAAATTCATGATTTTTATCCCAAAATTCCCGGGTTTTAATCTTGGAGTGGAGCCCGGGTGTCATGGCTGAAGTGTTTCGTGGTTTTGTTTAGTCTCTTCATGAGAACTCATGAGTTTTGTATCAGTACCAGGACATATTGAAGAGTATGATATCTGACAGAAGCCTTAAAGTATAGAATGTGGGCCCAACTGAAGAAGACTGTTACGAAGGTCTCTAAAAAAAGATGATTGTTATGAACCAGGAAATAATACAGTACCTACCTTTGCCGTCATACTCTGTCAACAGAGCCTCGTTTGTGGAAACGAAGTTCAGTACGTTAACGTAAGATCGACACCGCGGCTTACAGACTGGTAATAATGTTTCACAGAACGTTACATAGGGTATAATGTGAAAAATGGTTTCAATTTGCTACAGAAAACCAGGATCCACATTGTATCAAAGCAAGTGATTGTGTGTCATCGCTTCCTGTTTCACAGGACTGCGAATCACAGGGGAAAAACTCGTAGAATGTAAATGCAGTATACGACAATTTGTTTTCCTGGAAAATGAATACTTGAATGGAACAATGCAGTCCTGAGATTCCTCAAGTTCATCGCTTTCATCAGATACCGTTAATGACAATCGTTAAAACTAGACACGTTTTCTGGTTTCAGTAAAAGAATTGTGAGCAGTTATTGTCTATTGAACTGGAGTAAAGTAACTGACGACAAGGTACAATAACATATTTTAGTGTGACGGTGATGAACCTTTGAGACCCACAATAACGGAATGCTTCTTGAGAAAGATTAACAATACTCGACTCTTTGAAGTAAACTTTATCAGGAAGCGAACTGATTTTTATTGTTGGATTGATCGGTTGGCAATAGTATGGAGATGGCTGTCTTCTGTGTTGTAGCGCCGTGTAGACTGCCCAAGTTTACAGACGTTTAGGAGATACTTGTTGCCTTCATCATCAGGGCCATGATAACGGAGTCCCTGATGATGGAGGCAGCAAGGCCTCTGAAACGTCTATCAGTTAACAGTGGTATTTTTATAGACCTACGTCTCCGTTCAGCCAGTGAAAATATCGTATTTTCTCTATTTTAAGGTTTTTTTTAACATTTTAAGATTTGTGAAATCGGGGTACGTCTTACATTTGATGACGTCCAAGAATCGATATAACGTCTTTTCTCCCTGAGAACCTATTACTTCATTAAGGGTGCATCTTACAAAAGATGATGTCTTGAAGTCGAGGACATACGATAATTTAGGCTCTGTCTAGCAGAATTTATCACACAACACTTTGGCCTCTTTAGGCCTTCCTACAACTGTATATATCCTTTTAAGGAGACTGTTAGTATTTTACAAAGTCGCAAACATGTCTTCAGTATTAGATGAACAAACTTTCTCATACGTAGCCCGTAAGATAGTTTGTCTACGTGTTGGAATTTGGGTTGGCAGTATCGATACCCGCCAGAGAACAAATGAGATGTGCTAGTCGACGCTTGTAAATTGTAAACTGAATTATAATATAACTATACGTTATAAGAGCGTTAGTGTAACAGTATAATAATACTAAGAAGGGTATTAGGCTTTTTCCCCCTGATATATCCGACCTGAGAGAAATTAAAGAACTGTGAACCTGGTAATGCTAGGTTGGGGCATTTCAGAACTAGATAGAAAATACAGGTCAGTAGAAGAGCCCCGTTAGAAGACAGCACATATTATGAAGGAAATTTATCACAGTGCATTTTTTAGAATATGTTTCTATATACATCGTTAGTAGGAATGAAACTCACGTTTTAAGGCACTATAAATAATTAAAATAAGAGGCTGTGTAACTAAGTAGTCAGCGTTTAGGAGACTCTGTGCTATATGAGATTTTACGACTTCACTGTGGTGAAGATGTCTGTGGTGGTCTTCTGGGTTATGATGCCATGTAGTTTCGTACATCGGTATAACGTTTCGGAGGAACTTTCTGCTTCCATCTTCAGGGCCTGAAGTAATGTTTATGAAGTTTCCTATTTCTGTATCACAAGTTTGTCTACTGTTGTGCAGGTGGTAGATTCCCGTGCCCGCAACCTGGTGGATGGGAGTGTACACCAGCGACAGAGAAAGCAACTAGAAGTGTTCCAGGCTCAGGTACCTGGAGGTTCACTCCAGGTGATACGAACCCAGAGCGTGACAAGCACCAGTTCCAGCAGTTGCTCTTGGAGGGCGCCCTTGCACAGTGACACCAATGTGCCCACTGATTTTGAAAATATACAGGTATGCATTGTCTTGTTAAAAAGCAAAAACCTTAATTGATTCTCCAGTAGTAGAATCTGAAGTTCAGCATGGCTAATATAAACACATTAAAAAGTAACTCCATCCATCTTTGGATATCACAGCCCATCTTAATGTTATCCTCCAATATCCTTCTTAGGCTCGATGCACACGAGCGGGAAAATGCCGCTCGTGCTCGCAGCGAGGAAACCCGTGACTGCACACGTAGCGTCATCGCTGCGATCACGCCGAAAAACTCTCACCAGTACTAGATTGGATGGCAACCCAAATTGGATGTTTACTGAAGAAAACGTGTAGTTTTACCTATTTCGTTTATGAATACGTCCTTAAAAAACGCAATAGGAAGTATTGGACACACCCGTTGGTTAGTTCACGACTGTTAAAAGGGGGCGTTCGTGACAGTGTTTACAGATTTAAGAGAAGATGAAAGTAAATTTCGTAATTATTTTCGTATGAGTATAAAGTCGTTTGATGAGCTAGCAGCAAAACTGGATGCATCCATCAAAAGTAAAGATTCTGCGATGAGGCTTGCAATACCTCCTCCATGACTGGAAGGCGGTAGCTGTTGCGAGGGTTGCGAACCACGTGTGCACTGCGCAATGCTCTCACACAGTCTGCTGCTTCGCGGCGATCGGCGAACTCGCTGCGAAGCGGCAGTGGTTGGCGAGCGCAAATAGCTCGCCGCGTCACCGCCATAGCGTGCGTGGCTCCATTGCTTCACATGTACTGCTAAAACGCGCGAGAAAATGACGCGGCGAGCTCGCCAAAATAACTCGCTCGTGTGCATCGAGCCTTCAGAATTGCCAATTTCCATGAGGTTTCCCAACCAAAATTCTGTTTGCACTCGTTTCTCCTACTCAGGCTACATGTTCATCCTATAGCAAGCTTCATGATTTCATTGTGCTAACAATTATACCTGTACAAATTATTAAGTTCCTAATTTGAGTGTTTCAGAATTAAATATCTAGGAGTGACAGTAACAATAGAAATAAGGTTTATACTGAAAACACGATATGAATATATCAAGGAAATGCTTGTCATTTTTCAGTTTAAAAGTCTCACCAAATGTGCTTTTCACTGGATGTATATTCTCATCTTCTTCTTCTTCTATGTCTCTCCGGTCCGTATTCGGTCTATGGCCTCCTCAATTCTCCTCTTCCATTCGGTCCTTCTGTTAGGTCCATCTTCCGAGGTTGAGGTTTCGAAACATCTTCCTTTTTAGGTGCAAGGTTGTTAGCCTTGCGACCAACCCCAACCTGGAGGACCAGGGTACCTGTCTTAGTCTGACCTCTCCCCCTCGACCAATCTGGCTAGGGAGGCCCTACCAGTAGCTCTTGGGGTCACTGAGGTACTCGAGCCCCACCACCATGACAAGGTGCAGGTACCATTAAGTGGGGGTATATTCTCATAACTGGAGAAATTTTCTGATATATTGTACGCAGGTTTCCATTTAGGTTCTGTATTTGACAGATTTTACTATCATCTTTGTAATATTATGTTGTTTATGTTTCTTTCTCCACAGTTGCCTATAAATCCTCTAGATATAAGTTCTCAGAGGACGAAAGCCAGCGTAGGTCGCAGCGGGTCTATCGGAAGTCGTCGTCCACCGTCCAGACCTCGTAGTATCATCAACAAAGTTGAGAGTGGCATTTCTGAAGAAAACTTTCCTCCTGATGCCGAGGTACAGGATGTGGACAAACGCCTCTCAGAAGTATCAAGGGTCTGCCAGCAGATTCATGAAGAAGCTAAAAGTAAGGTATCAAATTCTCTTCCTTCTGAAATGCTCTCATCATCCCTGAATGATAATATGTTGCTTAGAGCAGACTACATAAATAGAAGAGGCTGCGCTGATGGCAATAAATACGGTTGTAAGTCAGGCGGACAGAATTCATTAAACACATTTGATAAAGTGAGGAAAGCAGATGATATTATGTCAAATGGACTTTTTCATGCCATCTTAGCAAGAAAGAAGAGTTGTTCTACTGAAGATCTCCAAAATAATGATTACAATGAGAAAGACAGTCTAGTTGAAGGTCGTGAAATACCAACAGACCTGATCAGAACTTTAGGTGCAAGGCGATCACTTCAGTTGCCAAATAAAGGAAACCGTTCGGATGTATCGAATGGGAATGTGAGTAAAATTTGCAAAGAGTTAGAAGACAGAAAGTCATTGGACACTATGAATGATCATGCTACTAGCTTTGGTTCCTTTGAAAATACATTTAAATATGACACTGAATCTGCAAGGAATTCTTCCTTGCTAAGTGAAAATAATAGGCAATTATGTAGCATTAATTCACTGACAAATAAATCAGCAAATGGATACGAACTTGAAGGATTTTCTAGGAAAGCTGACTCTACTAAAGGCTCTTCACACAAACGTCATTCTTTTGTTACTGTAGAGTCCTTGAAAGAAGTTCGAGGCCGGCTGAGGCACCTTGGTTCACCTCCGCTGGATGACATTCGACTCCCAAATAATTCCCAAACAAAAGATGTGGAAGATAGTGATGATGGAATTGTGACTGAAGATTTCAACAAGGCAGCCCCAGGAATGAATCTTCAGTCAATAGAAGAAATTCCAACTTCTTGTGTGAAATCGTATGTGTATGGCATGGAAACAATGGCAAACAGCCAAAACAATATACGTAAATCTACCGCTGGTACCGGAAGCCTAGAGTCTAGGGCATCGAATAGGTCTAGCAGTAGTGGCGGAAACCGTTCTGAAGAGTGGTACAACCGAAGAAAATCATACGGCTTTGAACAAGTCCATAACCAACAGGCTCATAATCGTTCTGAACCAGTGGCACTCAAAGAGAAAAGCAGAGTGGAATCGTCGACTGACAGTGGCATCTGTAGGTCTTCTGAGACAGTAATTCCTTCATCATGGACCCCATTTAACAAGGAAGAAGCAAATGACCAGACTACGCTTGGAAATTTAAAGGCAAATCACAGCATCGAACTAAAACAACATAGTGACGACAGAAGAATTATAGACGCAGATAACAGAGTAAATGAGAGTAATTCTCATAAAGGAAGGAGGACAGTTGTGACTCTAGGAAGTGATAATGAAGACAATAGAAGTGGACTGCATATGAAAGGCAGCAACTTGATAGAAACTAGTTCCACTGCCATATCAAATAGCTGGAGAAGTGGGTGTGAGAGCAGAGCAGTGAACAGTTTGAATACAAATACAAGTGCTAAAAGTGTGCATCGCCTATCAGTGCCCATAACTATAACAATTCCAGTTGTATCTGATGATTCATTCAGTAGCATTGACAGAAGTGGTATAACTGCCAGGAAACTGTACTTCAATCAGCTTTCAGAACAGACAAATTTGAGTGCAGAGAGCAGATGCAGGAAATCTGGAACTTTCTTAACAAGTGGAAATAGTTCTCCCCCAAAGAACCTTTTAGATGAACCCAGAAAGACACTTGCAGATAGGCGAGAGCTGCTTTTGAAGCACAGTGGAGGAAGTGGTTGGTCTCCTGCATCCAGACAAACTGACATTGAAATAAAGAGGCATTCCATTGCCGTTGATGAAACAAAATATGTCAGAGAGGGTCTCAAAAGTTATAATTTGTATGAAAAAAGAAAAGGAAACTTTAATTTTGAAAATGAGTTAAAAACAATTCCCACCAACATTTCCGATATTGAAAAAAACACTTGTTTGAATCTTTCTAATGAAGGAGATTTAAAGCCATTTCAA